AATATAAAGAAGAGATACAAGAAGGGAAGGGCTCCTTTGGCTCCGTTTTTCAATTCTTAGAAATGGCAATTTGTAGCTACGAGAAACAACAAGAAAAGACTGCGCAACAAGAAGATTGGGACAAAGAAGAACCCATCTTTAATGAACAAGTAACTCTATTTGGGGAAGAAAGGGGAAAGGGGGGAAAGAGAATGGAGAATTTAAGAGTTAAAAAAACAACCAAAAAAGGGAAAAATAACTTGAAAAGTGGATATAATGTTGGAAAACAACAGAAAAGGGGAATACAGAAGAGGGAAATGGAGGTGGAGAGACAGGGGGGTAAAAAGGGGAGAGAGAAGAAGAAAGGGAAGAAGGAAAGGAAGAGAAGTTACAAAGGTTTGGAGCAAGATGTAAAGAAACAGGACCTATTCAGAGATAATGGGTGAAAATCTAATTGTAAAAGGGATTCTGTGAAGGTACATAAGATGGTATTGTTATATTTGTAATAGAAATAATGTTAGAAAATTGGAAACAACATATGATTAAAAAGAGGGATAAAATAGTCAGTGTAATTTAGTGAAACTTTTATGAACAAAATAAATGAAACAAAATAAATGAGAGAATTGAATTAGGAAGGAACAGGAACATTTTAATTACTCAATGTTTTATAAAATATAAGTGAAGTGGGGGGGAATTAACTATGGAAAGTTTATAAGTGTTCCCATAGAAGTATGATATTTATCTGAAAAGTAATGTGTAAAATGTTAAGATTTAAATGAATATTAATATTAATGATAGAATTGAATTGGTATGGATTGTTGTTCTAATTATATTATACATTTATAATTTTTTCTTTTTTTAAAATACAGTGTGTAGTTTTAGAAAGTACCAAGCAGAATCCGAATGGAAGTTATGTATTATATTAAGTGCCATAATTTTAGGGGAAAGATATAAAGGCTTCATACTCCAATCAGTGATTACAGGAGAAATTTTGTTTAATGAGAAAAGATAGTAGACAGTTGAAACAGGACAGACAAAGAATATAAGTACAATGATTTGAATTGAGATAAAATAAATAAAATAAAATTAAGAAAATTAAAAGAGGGGAGAAGCTATATTGAAAATGTAGAATAGTAATAAGATATGGAATTGAATATAAAAATGAGCATGAACTTGAATTTGTGTCTGTACGAAGAGATGTAACCCGGGACTATGCTGCTTTCAAAAAAGATGTTTCATGTTTCATGTTTTGTTTGTTTATGTTTGTTTTCAAAAATCAATAAAATTTTCAAAAAAAAAAACATCTTACCCCAAAAATTTCATTTGGTATCTAGTTGGACATCATGTGGAAGGCTGTTAAAAAGAACATCCAAGGTCTTTGAAATGTAGTGTTACTGTTACTACATTGGAATTTGCATAAATGTTTATTGATTTCTTTGTTAAGGTGGTTGCACTTTATTGTGGTATTATAGTGCTGATTTTCTCACTATAATTTCATCTGACTAAACATCTAGGAATTGCTTTTCATTGCAGAATACATTTTCATTTATTATTGTAAATTAACTTGACAATCAAACAGATAGAAAGTGAAGGTATAATTTCAGAAAATAAATAAACAATATTGAATAATTTGTAAAATATATAATATGGTTACACTGTGATCTCCATTGCTTCTATATAGGGTGAGTTTGTGTGAATGAAATGAAAAAAAAGCAGTTTATAGCAGTTTACTAAATAACATTTTTTGAGTTCATGGGAAAGAAAAAATTAACTCCAGGTATTGCCTGCTACATTTTCTCAACTGAGTCCCCTGCAATGTATTGGACAATAAGTCCTATAACCCATGCCCAATACATTTAGTCCCTTTACTGGAGATTTCAAGCTTGGAATATTTTGAAGATATTGGTTTGGAATAACATGAACTACATTTTTTCTATTAATTCTTTTTTCTATTAATTTCTCCTTGGAGTGGATATTATCTTAAAGAATCTGTTACAGCAACAAAAAAGGCCTGGGTCCTTAAATTGGATTCCTCCTGATACCTCATATGAAATGTCTTGAATTTTGTTGAAGAAAGCCTGGATATAAATATAAATAGTACCATTTTTCATTCTCAAGAATTGATATTGTAAAGTTTTGAAATAGAATTAGAGACTGCCAATGCTGAAGATAATGAAGAATTAATTACAACAAAATGAAACAGTTGTTTACCTTAAAATTGATTTTATTGATTCTCCTGCTATCAGACAAGGAATCCACAGCTATAATAATTAAGGTTACTGCAAGGTGGATCCAGACTGGACTTTTTTTGGGAGTCTACAAAAGAAGAGCTGAACAGAGCTAAAGCTGGAAATAATTTGAGCTGATTTCCTAGGAAGTGATCACAAAAGATAAACGTGGGAGACAAAATGGCTCTGCCTGATACTGACAGAGCATTTTGAAACTGAAATAAGATACAAGGGAGACATGAAAAATTGCCCACAAAATGAAACAATAGAGGACTTATGAAATTGAATATGCTTTAATTGCAAATACATTTTAAATTCATGTTGATATAACATACAACCCATCTTTGTATGTAGTTACCCCCCACTTCTGCAAATGATAAGTTATTTAGGTTATAAAGAAGTTCGGTGGATGAGGAGCAGGAGATAGGCACCACACACGCTTTTCGTGTCGAACAGTGTCAAAAAGTTTATGGGTCCCTGATTATCTGCAAAAGACAATGGTACCTGAACCTGTGCGATATTATGGCACCCAGGAATGTCTGTTCTTGGCAATGTTACCAATCCAACCCTCCTCTCCCTCTCAAATGCAAAGAAATAGCAGCAGAGAGGAGACAGATCTTTGCAACGTGAGTCCGGTGTGGCAAGAATGGAGGAAGAAGCATGAGGTATCTTAGTGGGTCAGGGAGGCCTGGAGGGCCTGCTCCATCCCTAGGCCCCCATGGTCTTCTCCACCCTGAAATACCCCATGTGCACTTAACAAAAGGCACATTAGATTAGCAGTAGCGAATGCATGTACATTGGTATTCTTGAATTGTGAGCTCTTAGGAAAGTATCCCCTCCTTGTGTGTTGCAAATAGCCATTTCCACTGAGAAAAACAGGACAAAGCCTAGTGAGGAAAAGTATTTTCCTTTGCTATATTTCCAGTCTGAATTAGACCATGGCAGGATCCTTACAAGAGAGCCCTTTTAAGGATTATGTATTCATACAAAAGCAACTTACTTACTGTTCCTAAATGTTAAAGCTGTTGCACATAAAAAAAGAGTTCTGATTAACTATCACAGCCACCATTTCGACTGTTTTGCTGTACTTTTGTCTGTGAACTAAATGCAAGCATGGGATAAACTTAGCCTCATTTGTTGTCTAAGTGGCCACAAACTACTACCAAAAGTGCCATTTGATTGCAAGGCAAGAAAGCATTGAGAAATGTTTCCCCTTTTCCCCTTTTGCATTTGAGCATCAAGAAGAGACAGGAAAGGAGAAAGGGAAAGAAGAAGTAGAAAAGAGAGCAAAGATTTAAAAAAAAGATAGAGAAGGAAGTAGAAAGGAAAATGAAGAGGGAAGGAAAAAGGGAAGGATCCATCCCCCCAGCCTGCCCAGCCCATCACAAGTACCCCCCAACAGGAGAAACTTCAAGATGACCAAACCATACAAATGACTTAATTGGACAAGATGCTAACAGGAACAGAAGATTGATTTTAAATATTGTATTTATTCATTGGGCAAAAAATATTGGTTATACAATTGAATTAGATAAATGGCAGAAATTGTGGGATAGAAATTATAAGTTAACAATGTCAACTACATATAAAGAAAACTTGTGTAAGACGTTTTATTGATGACACTTAGCATCGATGAGATTGACAAGGATGTTTAAAGATAAATCAGCGAAATGTTGGAAATGTCGCTAAATACCTGGGTCATATACTGTATATGTGGTGATGTGTAGAACCCAAAAAATACTGGACAAAAATACACACGTTTGGAAAAGATGATACAACAGCATATTGATTTAAAACCTGAAATATTCCTGTTGGGGATTTTAGCTGAAATTTATAATAAAGAGAATGTCTATTTGATTATTCATTATTCTAACAGGAGCTAGAATTCTATTTGCTCAAAATTGGAAAAGTGAAGAGATTCCTACTGATGAAAATGTGATCAGAAAAAATATTAAAATGTGCAGAAACTAATTAACACTTGCAATTACAGAGGAGCAAACTGAATATTATCAGATATGGGAACTATTATATCAATGGCTAGAGAAAAAATATAAATGATAGAAATAGCTAATAGTGAAATATAGAAAATATGTTAATAGAATTAAACATGTTAAGAGGAGTGTTATAATAGAAATATTATGTATATCAATAAGATTAATATCAAAGCAATGAATATGGTTGGAAAATTTAACTGTTATTGCACAAGATATTTGTACCCAGACGACACTGTTAAATGAAAGATGAATTGTATTTTAAATAAAATACTTATTTAAAAAGATGGCCACGCCCACCCCAGCCATCCAAAGTCAACCAAAACCCTGATGCAGACCTCAATGAAATCAAGTTTGACACCCATGGTATAAATGTTATATATATTTATAATATGTATGTATGCACATATTTTTTAGTTCTATTTTGTAGGATACTCTGATCTGCTGTTAGGTGCCCAGAATAATGGGCAGCCGATTTAATCCAATTAAATAAATATGTTTATACAATTAAGAGACTGCTATCAAACTAAAGGATGACTTTGGTTAATAGCTAGAAATTTAGGTTGAGTGTGATGTCATCCATATAACTGTATTCCTAAGCCATTTAACTTTCTAAAAAGCAAGTTAGAAAATTTATAATATTTAGCATCCTTCAACATGTGATGCCATGCATGGGGTATGCCAGGTTTGGAGAAAAAAAAGTCCTCTTACTGAAGTTGGAAAACTTGCTGCATCTGTCATATAAGCTTTATCACAATATTCTCCAGTTTGAAAAATTGCCCACAAAACGAAACAAGAGGACTCATGAAATATGCTTTAATTGCAAACACATTTTAAATTCATGTTGAAGTAACATACAAAGCATCTTTGTATACAGTTACACCCCACTTCTGCAAATGATAAGTTGTTTAGGTTACTATAAGGTTATATCACCAATTAACAGCCAATTCATTCATATAAATTCCAAATGTAGAATTAAATTCTGGGTGAACATTAAAAGACAAAACTAAACCCAGGCCCTTTAAAAAGTACAACACACACACACAGAGAGAGAGAGAGAGCACTGCAAATAGTACCCTTAAGCAACTACAGTATAAAGTTCAGTGCAGTCTTCTGGATGTATATTATCCAAAATAGGATTTGTATAAGGGAATCTATCATTCCATTGTGATGTTTGTTTAGTCCAGTGTGAACCAAGATGGACGTTTCCTGTTTCTTTCAATAATTCGCTTGCCTTCATCTTCATTTCTGGGTTTTTCTCCTGCATAGAGCACAACACTTTCTACAGTGGGAGCCTTATGTGGTCCATTTTCCAGTAATTTGATTTGATTTTTGATGGCATAGGTTTCCTGTTTAACTTTTTCATAACAATAGCCACAAAGAACATGCTTCTCTTTCAGGTTGCCGCATTCAGGACAAATATCTATGTTTTTCTAAAAGTAAAAAAATAGAGTCTTAAGATGCAGTGGAGAGAGAATAATTATTTTATAACAATTCTGAACTTTTTTCATTAATGTAACAATAAAATACAAAAAAGGATTAAACAACATATCAAAATAATAAAACCAATGCAACAAGAATAGTACTGCACAATGCTATGTAGAAATCAAAGTATATCTCCCAGTTAATATTTAGTAGGGACAAGCAATATTTGAAGGGTTGAATCTGGATCTCAGACCCTTAATGTAGTAGGAGGCTGTTTGATCAAGAAGCAGGAGTAAATTTATTTTAGCCTGTTTTTTCACTTTTGGGACAGCATGTGGAGAGCAACCTGATGCCCCGAAAGGCAATTTGTTCTACCTCAACCTTTAAATTATCCAAGGTCAGAAACTCAAGGGTGGGTGTAAAGATATTAATTTCTCCTGTTCCTACTTAAAAAAAAACAGCCTGAAACAAGGCAGAAAATAGTTGCCATGGTGGTTAGGTGGATAGTTATCAGCTGGAACACTGTTTTCATGGTAAACAAAATAAAAACTTTATTAAGGTAAAAATAAAATAAAAACAGAACCACAATTTTGGTTCCACATTTGCAGTTGGCAGGAATTTCATGCAACCCACAAATTATACATTCACAGCGAACCCAGTATGAAACAAACATTCATTTATATTTCTTAACTTGCTTCCCAATTTATTCCTACTGATAGTGAAGAATGAAACAAATAAAAATAATACAAAGAAACAAAGTCCAATTTTCTGCACAGGGAAACTTAACAAATTACCTTTATTTTTATAAGATGGTCAGAATTCCTTCGTCTGGTGCGATTCACTTCAATTGTCCGCCTTGATTTTGGAGCTGGCATCCAAAGTATGCTGTCTAAAAAGCTGGGATTTTCAAAATACTCGGTTTCCTCTTCTGCAGGATTGAGTAAAGAATCTGGAGCTTGAACTGCTAAAGCAGGAGCTTAAAGAAAAGATATCAACTCAGTGTCATATCTTAGTCTATTTAAAATAGTTTAAATTCAACATGGAATGGTAAAGTCTTTTTCAATGGAGTTCATTCTTAACTGACTTGCATTTAGATTTCAAACCAACGACATCTGAAGCTAGCAATACTCTTCAACATCCAAGCTGATCAGTGCTGGAGCCCATCCACAAAGAATTTCAACATATTTATTGAAGAATTAAAAACCACTATATTAACATAAGGTTTATTGACTATGACAGTAATTTTAAACATGTAAAAGCAATTATTAGGTAGCCCTGAAAACAAATGAATTTACTTCTAAATAAATATGTATAACAATAGAATGTACAGGGTCAGTATCTAAAGTGTGTGTGTCATTCAATTGTGTTTTTAAATGAAAAATCATCTCTGTTCCTCATCTTTTTGTATGTGCCTTCAAGTCAGTTTTTGACTCCTGGGAGTGCCTGGACTATTCCTGTCAAAATTTCAGAAGCTGCCTGCTTCTTAGGGCTGAGAGGACTTGCCCAAGTCACTCAGCTGGCTTCCTCTCTAAGATGGGACTAATTCACATCTTCCAGTGTCCAGCCTTTTCTCCCGCAAAATGATTCTCATAACATTTTACTGTTTCTCTAATATTTTGTTTCTAGACATGAAGACTAAGAACAATTCGTGAGGAATATAAACAGTTTTGGATTCTATAATAAGAGTGTTCTACTTTCAGCTTTAATGCTATCCTCCGTTTAACTGGCAATCCGTTTCTCTTTAAAAATTATAAAGCCAAATTAAAAACAAAGAAAAAGCAAAAGAAATAATCTCTCTGCACTTTGTCCCTATCATACGTTTCGCTTTGGAAAGAACAGAAAAAGCAACAGGCAAGGAAGCAAATAGACGAAAGGAGACCAAAACCGCAGTTGGCTCGACTAGCAAATTCACATGGAGTTCATAAGAAAGTAATTTTCTAAAAAGCCTTCAATTTTCTCCTTGGATTGAGCGGCGCAAGCAATCCAACGAGTAGCTTGAAGATGACCGTGGAAATTTTCCTCGAGGGCCATCATGATGAACAGGACATTAGAAACCTTACCCCAAGGCCCTGCGTGGCTGCCAAGTTGACCCCAACAGTTTCGGAGAAAGTGACGGAGTTTGGGGAAAGGGGATGAAAATACCAATACGGCAGCCATGCTCCTTGCTTTCCCGGCACCTCTCGCGGCTCCTCCCACAAGTTTTCTACGAAATCCGTATAGGTAACCACCGCAAAGAATCCTGGGAAAACGAGTCAAACTACCCGCATCGGTAATGTCACTGTCACATGTCTTTGGCGAGCTACCGTTCTCTTTGTGCAAGTTTTGACTTTCAAACTGCACGAGAGGCTGTTCCTGAGAGCACCTGTAGCCCGTCTCGCAGGCTCACCATAATTATCGGCACTCCTAGAAATTCAGGGCCACGTGCTGCTTCCGGGAATTATCAGGCGAACTTCATTTGTCATAAAAACTCCGGAAATCACGTGCCACAAAGGTTGCTCAGATAAGAATAGAATTTATGAAAAGTACCCATAAAGTTTTAGCCAAAATCTGTATACTGGCAGTTTTTTTTTTTACTAAGTAGGCATCCGAGGCAGCGCGCAAAACAACCTGGAGCTTTTCCCGCTTTATTTTGCTCTTTCGGCTTACCTTCCACAGCAAAGTCAAGATGACCAACCATGTCAGATTCCAACCACCTTCCCCCCCCCCCCCCCACTCCCAGGGACAAAGAGAGAGCCAAGAGAGAAAGAGACAAGAAAGAGAGAAACGAGAGAGAACAAGGGCAAAGAAGTGAGGTTGACTTAGCCCCACCTATTCGAATTCGAATCCAGAGCCCTAGCTAATACCACCCACAAACCCAAACTATGGTTAAGATAAATCGATGACACATTTGTGATTTGGCCCCATGGAAAAGAAAACCTAAACAATTTCCTAACACACCTAAACAGCACACACCCCAAAATCAAGTTCAGCATGGAAACGGAAACAAACAGACAACTACCATTCCTAGATGTACTAATCTACAAAAAAACAGATGGCACACTAGGACACACCATATGCCAGAAGAAAACACACACCAACCGCTACCTCAATGCCCAATCCCACCACCACCCAGCACAGATAAACTCTGTGGCCAAAACACTAATCGCCAGAACCAGAGGCCTGGCTGACAAGACACACAAAGACTGAACTATGCACCCTGACTAAAGTACTGACAGTTTCTTGGGGTTATCAAAGAAAAATCCAAAATCTTTTGCCTGGTTACACTCAGCTCACTACTTCACTGCTCAGGCACACACTTAAGTTGCGGAAGCTCTCCGTCTTCAGGGCAGCCATTAAAACTGCCGCTACCTCCTGTCTTCAACCTAGCCAGGGAAGGGAGATGCGGCTCCCCTTGACCCAGCTGGTGGTCTCTCCCTCTTCCCCCACCCTTCTGAGGTGGGTCAGATGAATCTGGTCCTGCTGGGACCCTCCAACAGGATAAGCATGGATCGAAGCCACACACTTCGATGGAAGTGCCCTCAAGTGTCAATCTAGAATCAGCATCTACATAAGTTAACAGATAATCAAAGTTGGAAGGGATCTTGTAGGTCATCTAGTCCAACCCCCCACCCAAGCAGGAGACCCTACACGATTTCTGACAAATGGCAGTCCAAATTCTTCTTGAAAGTCTCAAGTGATAGTGCTCCCACAGCTTCCAAGGGCAAGCTGTTCCGTTGGTTGATTGTTCTCACTGTCAGAACGTTTCTCATTATTTTCAGGTTAAATTTCTTTTTGTTCAGCTTCCATCCATTGGCCTACAGGCACTTTAGAAAATAGCTTGACCCCTTCCTCCCTGTGGCAGCCCCTCAAATATTGGAAGACCGCTATTATGTCTCCCCTAGTCCTTCTCTTTACTAGACTAGCCAAGCCCAGTTCCTGCAACCGTTCATTGTATCTTATAGCCTCCAGTCCCCTAATCATCCTGGTTGCTCTTCTCTGCACTTTTTCTAGAGTCTCAACATCTTTTTTATAATGTGGTGACCAAAACTGGATTCAGTACTCTAGGTGTGGTCTTACTAAGGCTTTATAGAGTGGTATTAGTACTTCCCTTGATCTTGATTGTATCCCTCTGTTAATACAATTTAGGATTGCACTAGGTTTTTTGGCTGCTGCTGCACATTGCTGGCTCATATTTAGCTGGTTGTCCACTAAGACTCCAAGATCCCTCTCACAGTTACTGCTATTGAGCCTGGTTTCACCCAATCTACATGTGTACTTTTGGTTTTTCTTGCCTATGTGTAGGACTTCACTTTTCTCTACATTGAATTTCATTTTGTTAGATACAGCCCAGTGTTCTAGTCTGTCAAGATCCATCTGGATCTTGAGCCTATCTTCTTGGGTGTTAGCTATTCCTGCCAGCTTAGTATCATCTGCAATTTTGGTAAATTCCCCTTCTATTTCCTCATCTAAGCTGTTAATTGAAGAGTACTGGGCCTAAGACAGAATCTTGTGGCACCCCACTGCTTACTTCCCTCCATGTAGACTTAGAGGACTACTCGTTGAGTACGGTTTGCCAGCCAGTTGTGAGTCCATCTTGTGGTGGTATTTTGTATTTTGCTGGGCTACTAATTTAGTCACTGTGTTGAAGAATGAAATAAGATTGGTTTGGCATAATCTGTTCTTAACAAACCCGTGCTGACTGCTAGTTATTACTTTACTTATTTCTAGATGCTGGCAGATCTGTTTTTATTATCTTTTCCAGTATCTTCCTGGGTATTGATGTTAGGCTGATTGGTCTATAGTTTCCTGGGTCTGTTTTTTCCCCCTGGATTTTATATATATATATAATATTGTTTCATATATATATGGTATTCAGCTTTGTTAGGATATTTTCCCACGCCATTATAGTTGTGCTTTTAAAGTTGTAGCAACGTTTCGGCAGAATCTCATCTGCCATCATCAGGCTTGTGTATTGGGTTCGTCTGTGAGTCAGACTTTCACAGCCGTTTCTGTTTTAAATTTGGGGCTAGCCTATGCTGTGCCAGAATGGTTTTTTCTTCATCCTGATTGGTTGGGAGTCTTGGTCTGTGTTTATTTGACTTGGAGTTTGCTGTGTTCTGCTTGATTGGTGTTTCTAATATCTTCTGTCTGTTTTGTAGCTTTTTTTTGTCTTGATTGCTTGGCAACATTGTGTTTCCTGTATTGGAGGCTTTTATTGCGGCTTGGCTCTGAGTAAATGGACGGCTATCATTTATTAGGAAGCTAGGTTTCATCTGGGTGCCTGGTTGGGGTGTGTTTGAGCTGGAGGTATCACGGGGGATCTGTTTGTGCCCAGGTGTTTGCCTGGCTAGTGGTGTGGAGATTTTTTTTGTTTGAGAGTGCAGGCTTCCAGATAATTGACAGTCTGGTGGAGTCATCTCTTCTATTCATGCTTTCAGGTCTTTTTTCAATCTCTATGGCTTCTCTGATAATTCTGTAGCTGCGGTTTTCTATAGTGGCTAGGGTTTTGGTGCCATTGAAGCTGATGCTATGACCTGTGGCTTTCATGTGTTGGACTAGTGAGGAAGTGTGTTCCAGCTTTTTTACTGCATTTTTGTGTTCATCTAGGCGGGTACTTATTCTTTTATTGGTCTGTCCAATGTATGTGGCAGGGCATGATGCACAGGGGACTTCATATGTGCCTTGGTTTTCCAGGTCAATTTTAGGAGGAGTCAAGGGGAAAGACCAGGAAATCTTAGAAAAGGGAAAGCTGGTTAGAATTATAAGAAACTATAAGGTTGAGAGATTTAGAGATAAGGGTTAATGATAATATAAAGGGGGGATGCCACATGGAAATGTATTTGTGTGTGTGTGTGTGTGTGTGTGTGTGTGTGTGTGTGTGTAGATAGATAGATAGATAGATAGATAGATAGATAGATGAGATTTGAAGTTTAAAACTTATTGGGAATTACCTTAAGATTATTACATGAGAAAAATGATGATAGACTAAAAGAAATTAAGATGGTTTTATTGTTATCAAACCCTTCTTTTTATATATATATATACATTAAAAATGTAATTGATTATTCAAATGATATTAGAAAAACAGAGAATATGGTAAACTAGAAAAAATAATGCTATTATGACCAAAAAGGGTGGAACGAACATTAAATAAAATTTTATAGGTTAAACTTGGCTAAATGGAAACAAAAAGGAAATTTTCTTTTTTTCTTTTTCTTTATTGTATACATTTTATATTAGACATGAAATAGAAAATGTAATTGATTATATAAAGGATATGAGAAAATAGAGAATATACTAAACCAGAAAGGATTATAGTGGAAAGTAAAGCATTTGTAATGAGAGTATTATTATGAAATGGTTATATATCTGGAATAAATGTAAGATTTATTGTAGACTGGGGGATATCCCATATGGAGCCTGAACATATTAGGTTTTTTTTTCATTTTTATTCTTTTTTGTTTGTTTATTATATATCGGCTTTGAGAAAGTTAATGAAGATAATGAATAATGTAAAATAAAATAGGTGGTAAGCTTAAAATGGAAATAATAGGGGATAAAAATTGGAAAATATATGTGAGGATGAAATGTTTTTGATATTGAATTAATGAATTGAAATATGAAGTAAGAACTTAATTAAAGATCAGTGGAATAGATAATGATTTGATATGAAATTGGATAAGAAAGTTGGAAATGTAATTATGACTGTGTATAAATGTTGTAACCTGGAATCACGTTGCTCACTTGAAGAGATGTGTAAAAAATAAAAAAAACTTTTTATAATAGATTAATACTTGAGGTGCGTTGATGTGTATATATGTTGACTCGAGAAAAGGGATTGATTAAAGCAAGATATGCAGATTGAGTGTCTTGGTTTAAACGTTTGAGTGTTATGATTATGTTTACATTGTGTTGAGTTCTGTGTGTTTGCTTGTGTGTTTACAATTTGAAATAAGTAGTTAATTCCCGTGTTTGTGTAGTTTAAAGGATTTTGGAGGAGATAAATCAGTAAATTTGTGGAGACTAGATTAGTTAATGTAGGATTCTCTATACTATATTCACAATACAGTTACAAAATTTATAAATTCTTCCCATAATCAATATGAGAGTATTCTGTCCTATCAAAACATCTGTAGAATGTCAACTGGAGTAAAATTGTAGATTTTAAAAATTAGATTAGTACCATTTTGAAAAGAAAATAAATATTATGTCAACTATCTCCAGGGGTAGAATTCTACCGGTTTAGACCGGTTCGGTAGAACCGGTTGTTATGATTCTCCATAGTTCGGAGAACTGGTAAACCGGGCCTCTGGCTGGCCCCACCCCTCTCTGCCTACTTCTCTGCTCCCTGCCCAGTCAGTTCTTATCATGCATGCGCACCCGTCAGGCCAGCCATTGCTGCCTGCCTTCCATTGCAGCCCTGCCTTTATTGATCTCCCTGGGTGAGTGAGGCTCTGCAAGCCCTGGTTGCCTTCCCCCCGCTTGCCT